GGGACTCAGGGGTTGGTGGGGGGTTGTGGTGGTGAGATATCAAATAAAGATGGCTCAAAACATGGATCTGTGGTCCCGTCGTGCCTTAATTCCACCACAGAATTATATTGTGAAATCCACTGTCCTGCAAGCATAGGTTTCAGTGCTTGAATCTTAAAGGTAAAAATTTAGGAATATGAAATAAACCTGCCACCCCAACTTATGTAGAGATTGCAAGAGGGTGCTTTTTGACAAATGTCAAAGGCTAGTAAAGTTAAAACCTATTATGATCATGTGAGCTCGTGCTGTTTGAGAAATTTCAAAATCAACTACCAAAAGGGGCTGTAATTGATAATTGGCAGCTATTATTGTAGTGGGAAGACTACACACCTTTGGAGTGGGAGTCACAAGTTTGATTCACTCCCAGTATTCAGTAAGGGTCCTGGCTAGACCCCCCATGCTAAAAACCAAGCCCTGGAATGGCGTGGCTACGTCTGCAGCCTGTCCGGAGCTCGGACACAAAACATCTCATTGCATGTTGTACTCTGTATGATTGTGTATGTGGTGAATAAAGCGTGTTTGTTTGAAACACAATTAACAGACAGTTTAGAGACTTAGTGGACCTTAGTGACTCTTATGAATGATGCAGATCCAACAAGATCACACCCAGACTTTACCTTTCTCAAAAAGAGCTTGAGCCTTCAGCCACAACACTCTGTACAAAGAGAACCTCATGGAAGAAAATTTATAAAAGCTTGTCGTCCTTTTGGTCATTGCTGTTTCAATGTACTGCTAGACTCCTAGTTCTGATTTTATACATAAAAAACTGTACTAAATGATAGCTCCATGCCCATTCCTGTTCCAGGTTCAAAATTTAGCCTATTTCTCTGGTCACTTGGGAATCAGAAAAATGTACAATAACGTCCTTCATTATTTCTTCTGGTCTAGTCTCAAGGCCAATGAACTAACAACTATAACAACTATCTGTTGCTCATGTGATACATATCGTATCACAAATTGGGTGATTCCTGCTGTTTTTTGAAAACTATGCCACGGTTAGGGGGTTAGGTCAGCTGAAAAAAGGGTGGAGTGCCCACTCTCCGTCAGGGAAGAGTTCCTGCCCCAAGTGGAGGAATTTAAATATCTTGGGTTCTTGTTTACGAGTTAGGGGAGCAAGAGATCGACAGACTGATTGGTGCTGCGGCTGCAGTGATGTAGACACTGTACTGGTCTGTCGTGGTGAAGAGGGAGCTAATTATGCCTGCCGTTAGAGGGCCGGCGCCATTGCCAGCACCCATGCTGATGGACGGTCTGTTCTTCTGGCTAGAAGGTTCGCCTTTAGCCCTGGTCGGGTTCCTAATAACCTTTCGTAGTTTCTCACCCTTCTCTGTACTTATGCTTGCTATGCATTTTTCAAAAAATGCCTCTCTGTGCAAAATGGGTTGAAAACAACAACAACTGTAGGATCCTCTTTGTCCGTGATTTGGACAGGGGGAAGAAATTGTGGCAGGATCAGCCTGATATTATTATTATACCAAGCCTTGTTTGCCACACATGAATGCAATAATACATTTTTTGACAGTTAGTATATCGTATATAATTCTCTTGGAATAAGAATGAGAAAATGTGAACTTAAATTCAGAATAAGATACTGGCTCTCAAAATCAAAGCATTTTCAGTAGCAAGCTCTATAAAATCCCAACGTCACCCAAGATGGCTGCTGTACATTGATTAAAAAATCATGTCAAAGAAGAAAGAAGTATAATTGCTTGTAATATTTACAAAAATCACCAGATTTTTACATCAAAATTAGTGACAGTCTCAGAGGTGATCAGAGACAATTAATTATGTTTAACTTTTCAGTACAATTTAATTGTTTTGAACATCATTGTCTTTTATAAAATAAAATAAGCATACACATCTTTGAACTTTACAAACATTCAGCAGCCATCTTTTATAAACCAGCCAACCTCTACCATTCAGTCAGGGAGATCTGCCTGTTTCCAATCTGTGATATCAGACCAACCTTATAGCTCTTTCCTTCTTCAGCATACAGAGCTAAACCTGAAATAAAAACTGCCTTCAGTGTCACTTAGTCCTTCTACTCAAATACACATATTCACATCATCTTTTCACTTTACACAAGTGTTGCAAGGTGAGTTCTTGAGGAAACCTCAGCTATCTTTCACTCAGTTTTTTATACGTTTTAAAATATTACGCTTTTTGTGCAATTTTTTGTCCCATTGACATGATTGGAACCACACTACAAGTGTGGTTGCTGGTTTAACTCGCTGGGGTGAGCCGTGTTTTAGCTCACTGAGATAAGCAGGCGTTCTGAGAGCGGGAGGCGTGAATTCCAATCTTTCTCGTGGCAACATTTTTTTCAGCAGACAGTGCCGTTTCTTCTGCACACCGGTTTGGCTCGCTGGCATGAGCACCGTTGTAGCTCACTGAGATGAGCAGGCACCCTGACAACGGGGGGCATACGTTTGACTAACTGTGGCCTTTCAGCTTTTTTACCTCTTTTCAGCAGATACTTCTGTTTCTTCAGCAGTTTTTCAAAGACCATTTCCACTACATGGCATTCACCTGGCATTTTCACAGGAAATGTAGCTTTTTCTAGCTGTGTTTTAAATGACTTAAGTTTACCTAGTCTATTGACTCTGAATCACCAAATAACTACTTCTTTGCAGATGTATTTGTTCAGTGCTGTTTTTGATCTGACTACTGACAGCATACTTTTTTAAAAACTACTATGATCACTTTCATGTTAACCTCTTAAGCCCCAAGCCTAACTGATCTCCTGCCTTTTGCCCCCGTATCAGGGGGCGTTGGGGCTTAAGAGGTTAACCCTGTGTTCATAAACAATTGTGAACCATGGCCTTGTTGCCTTCCTTTTCTATTTGTATTTATATTTTTATAGGAACATAAAAACTAAAACATTGGTGACCGAAGCATATGTTGAGCTTTACATACCTGGTATTGCAGTTGCAGTCAAGGGTCGTGCTATAACGCCCTGGATAGGATACTGCAGAGGAGAGTTAGGCAAAGCAAAAAGTAGCTTGGATAGTATTGAATTAGTCCTGTTGAGGAGATAGATTTGGAAAAAATTACACAAAATAATTTTGAATGCTCAGTATGACACCCACACACCCACCCACACACACACACACACACACATTTTAATTCATTTATTACTGAACTGTAAGTCTAACAGTTCACAGAAAGCTCCATCTTCTACCTGGCTTTGTATTGCTGGAACTCTTTAGCTCGTCGCTGCATTAATTCCTCATACTGGTCTTTTGGGATGTGGTCTTTGAGAACTGTAAAGCCATCAGGACAGGTGCATGGACCAGGTAAGCGACGTTGTGTGGGCAAAGATGACTTATAATTCAGAGATCCTGAAGAGTGCCTGTAATATGGAAGTCCTGAAGAGTCACAATTCAACATCAACATTTAAATGAACTACTACAGTCAAATATAAAAGAAAGTATATCCTTATATGATGTGATCCTTATGGCAGCCTCAGCATGGCCATCCTAGTCATCATTGGATTCCTCCTCATCAGTCATTTCTTGGTCTAGATTGCATGGATTATATTCTGTGCCACCTTCAGATGCAGACAATTTCTCCTCTAATGCATCCCCACTGTCAGTTTCCTGGCCTCTCTCGTCCTCACCAGTGTAGTGATCAAATAAGTAGTAAAGAGCCTCACTTATGCCGGGCTCACACTGTGCGATTTTGTCAGTCGCGCGATTCAGCTCCTGCTCAAACTGCACGATTGACTCGCAGAGGTTAGAAGTTCATAGGTCACGATGCAGGTCTCACACTATACGACCCGATGCTCTGATGCGACCCGAGTGCTCACACTGTGCGTCCATAAAATGAAGGTTATAACAGAAATTCTGTCGTTCGCTCTCCCTCTCTGTCTTTCACTCACACAGACACGCACACCACCACCATCAACTTTGCTAAATTGCTAATGAAAAACATGATCAGGCAGCTGTGATTGAGCAGCAACGTCCATCCAACTATTTTCACGGTTGTTGTGGTCGTGATAACTTTGTGAGGCCACATCGGAAAGGCTCGGATGAGCTTTCCAAAGTTCTACAAGTGCCTCTATCGCTTGTGTCCAGATCACATGCTGCACTGCTGTGCTGCGCCGTCTTTTTCGCTGACATTTGTGCGCAGTGTGAGAAACTGCGGTGACACCCTCACGACGGTCGCGAGGATTTCAAACCTTGAAATTCTCACGACCAAGCGATTGATGATCGGGAGCTGGTCGTGAGGTGTTAATCGCTTCTCGTTACCCCACGTATACTACACGATGCACGACGCACGATGAAGGCCAAAATCGGGCCAATCGCCAAAACGGTCGCACGACTCAAAAATCGGCTCAAAATGGGCCAAAAATCGCACAGTGTGAGCCCGGCATTAGGTTATATATCGCCTTGTCATGGTGCTGACACCCACTGACCTCTGAGCAAGGCCTCAAAAAAGCATTGTACACCAAATCTACCAGAAAAGCTCAATGATACAATGATGCTGCCAACAGAGGAGTTGTTGGCATGGAAGTGAGGCTCTATTGTGCAAACATTTCAAGTGTAGTTGCTAGGGAACCTAGTGTGTGTGTGTGTGTGTGTGTGTGTGTGTGTGTTCATGGCCATCTGACAAAAGAGGATGTACCTGAACTCAGTTATTTACACTAATTGTTGTCTCCACTATTAATTTCTAGTGATTGGTCATTATTGAAACAGTAAATGTACAGTGTTGAATAAAAGGAATTAGTGATCATTCATAAATCTCCCAGAAAATTTCTGAACATATATGCAGTGCCCTCTATAATGATTGTGACAAAGACACTATCAAATAATCAATACATAATTGACGTGCAGACTTTCAGCTTCTTTTCAAAGGGTCTTACAAATATTGTGCACGGGTCACTTTCAGCACAACACTGTTTTAGCTACATCACTTTATCCTTCTCACTCAGTTGCTTCAGTCTATCTGCCATGAAAAGAAAAATGTATAACATACAAATTTGAAGAGGACAGTTTGTCCACACACACACGATACAGGAATAATTTACCTTTGTTTTGATGTTGGAAGATTGTTGTTGACTAGCTCACTTGCCCATTTATACGAATTCCCCATATAGAATGCAAACATGATGAACAGCACACCAACAACAGCAATTGCAAAAAGCTTTGAGTTTGTAAAGATATACATCTGTTGATACACAGAAACACACATTACAGTTGGTTAATTAGCAAAGGCAAAATCTTTAACATCTAAATAGTTAAACTTCACAAATGGACATATCAGTCATATAAAATCTGTATGTCTTGACTCACATCTTAGATATGACTGAACATGTATAAAATTAACATGAAAAATGGCTTTCTTTTAAAAAAAATGTTTCCTTTGCGTCTGTAAAAAAAATCCATCCTCCATCTCTCAGTTGAAGCTTTCGGTGTAATTGCCAAAAAGGAATTTCAGTATTTGCCAAAAAAATTGAAGCTGTTGTAAATGACTTGTTGACATTTAGATGTCCTTTATTTATTTGGTTGAACAGTCTCATTTACATTACAATTTTTTTTTAGTTTTTAGTTTTTGAAGAGTGAGCTGGCCAAGAGGGCAGCAGAAATTGAAATAAGAATAATATAACAGCAGCATAATGATTAGGGGTGGGTTTTGATTATCGATTTATCGATTAAAATCGATTCTAGCTTGGATAACGTGATATCGATTCATTAAAATCCTGAACCGATTTTTTTATATAAATTTATTTTGCCTGAAAAGCCAGAATCTCAGGTTAAACCTCACAAAATGTCAACAACCACCAAACAGCTAAAACAGTAAATGAGACAGGAACACGGATTCTGCACAGAGACGTAGACACAAAGCTCGACCTGCCGACGCATCAGAATCAGTGAGATGTCGCCTTTCTCACCCAACGGCACGAACATGTCGTCGGGGCTGAAAGCTGACAGCTCACTGATTCTGATGTTTCAGCGGGTCGGCGCTTTGTGTTTACGTCTTTTTTGCGCTAGATTCTGAGCTGCAGGTTTTATCTCTCTCCAACCAAAATTCAATGAAACAGCAGCAAATGAAGCAGAAAACTACGCTTCACATTTGATAAACATCGTCATGAATTCCGTCTTACTTTTCCTGTTTTGCTTCCACCATGATAAAATCACACTTCATGCACAGCTCTCTCTCTCTCTCTCTCCCCCAGTGTACTTCAAGAACAGTTTCCCATCTAAAAATCTGTTTTCTTCATTATTCACTTGCGCACAAGTCTACCATTGTTTACAGCACTGTCGGCCACAGTTTTTTCCTTTTAAGTACTTCCGAAAAGAAAGCCTCACTTCCGCTGTTTAATAGGCTACTGAAAAAATTTAAACTTTTTAAAATTATGCAAAATTGCAAAAAGCATGGCTGTGTCTCTAATAAAACCTCTGTAACTTTGCTCTGCTTCACTTCAGCAGCATCAGGTAATGTTCATATGTTGATTAATGGTTTTCTTTCATTTTTGATCTACTGCAGAATATTTTTTTTTAAATCCCAGGCCAGGAAAATCACCTTCATGTTTTTCTGTTTTATCCTCAGCTACTTTGACACAAAAGCATCTGCTGTGATGCTTACATCTTTGATAAAGTCTTGCAAGTGTCAGCTTTCTTTTTATAGATATAAAAATATGGAAATGTACTGATAAATGATCTAAATTATAATATTTCTGACTGAGGCAAAATGTCCCCGATTCAAATCGAATCGTGGATCGAATTGATTCTAGAATTCAGTGACAATACCGAGCCCTAATAACGATAGTGGCCAGAAAAGACTGAATTGAATAAAATTTAGATACAATATCATGGAATCATAAGGATACTTGCAACAGGAATTTTTTTTAAATTTTATATATAAATCCTTTGTAAAGCCTATTGACTACAATCTGTTTATGCAGAGATAAGCAGAGATATTACACATGGAAAAAACAAACAAAACAGAAACACTGGAAATCACATTTTGACAGTTTATCGCCTGTATCTTCAATACTTTAAGTCCTTTTGTACGGAGCCCCGCAGGGGACATGGGAGAAAAAAAATTAAGACGGACTTTTGCGAGAACTCGCAAAACTTTTGCGAGATCTCGCAAAAGTTTTAGCCGCATTTGTCGGAGGCTGCCAGCTCGAAGCCGACTGGGAGGTTCAGGCACGATGTGCCGGGAAAGCGGTGTTCCTCCCGGCTGTAGTAGGTCTCGACCTCCCGTTAGCTTCGAACTAGTGGGTGTTAGATCTCTGAAAACGTCGGAGCACTTTTGCAAATATGTGATGTCTTGTAAACCGAGCAGGTATCTGATGTTTACACAACTACATTCACGCCTCAAAATATCTTAAAAGTGTATTTTGTGACCCAGAAAGAGTAATATTACAACTAAGTAGCTGCCGCCATTGTTGGAATTCAACTTTTGCGAAATCTCGCAAAACTTTTGCGAGATCTCGCAAAAGTCCGTCTTATTTTTTTTCTCCCATGTCCCCTGCGGGGCTCCGTACTTTTGGCTGCAAAGGGGCTCATGGGATTGGAAAAGATTAGTCCATTAGTCCAGGCAGTAGATCAGAATTAGCGCCATCTGCTTGTGTTCAGACAAACTGCAATTTTAAGACACATGCACTGGATTCATCTTTGCTTTGCCTGTTTGAAAATAAATTAATTTGAACTAAAATAAATTTGTTTTTAACATTGCAAACTAGGTCTGCACAAGTAGGATCAAAATGATAATCACAATTATTTTGGAAAAATACTAACATTTTTTATTATTATTATTATTTAACTATGATGTAAACACAATACTGCTTTCACATCTTTATATTGGTACAAACATTGCTTAAAACAGATTAATTGTTAAACAATATATCATAATTTAACACAAAATTCAATCAACAGGCCACTGCTTGCACTCTGCAGTCCTTATTATCAAAACCAGGTTTATCACAAAACCATAGTGATAAACTTGATCAGCTTGGAGGGGGAGCCAATTTATAAACACAATACATTCCTAACATCATTCCTAAATTAATCCTAATAAATTACAAGTCTTTGCAGATTAATAAAGAAGTTTATTCACTTGGTGTACTTAAGTCTAAGTGACTTAGACTTTACTCTGCAGCAACGCCATTCTCCCTTTTAAGCCCAAGCACAAGTACAAAGAGCATAAGAGCAAATTCATAAAATCTTAAAGACATGGCTATCATCTATCATCGCTTCCTGAGAACTACTTACAATAGTTTGCTTCTCTACAAACAGCAAACGGTAGTGCTTAAAAACTTTTTTTGTTAGCATGAGTATTCACGTCAGTGTATGACACATAATAATAATAATAATAATAATAATAATAATAATGGATATGATTTATATAGCGCTTTTCAAGGCACCCAAAGCGCTTTACAAT